CCGTGGACGTGGTACATTCCCAAACGTTTCGCCTGCATCGTCAGTGAGTATCGCCATTCTTAGCACCATAACACAACTTGTCAAAGAGACCTTCGATAAAAAGTTATTATCGACCAGTTGTTAATGTTAGCAGCTGTATATACGAAGAAAAAGCGAGTTTCGATTAATCTCTTGAGGTAATATTGTTGTGTATACTTCCATTTTGTATGAAAGTGCATGATGAAAAGATTGATAGGTCGATAGCACAGGAAGACGACGGCCGATTCTCGTTATATTGCAGCCGTTTGGCTTTAATACATCGTTTAGGCTGGAGCAGTCCGCCAGTCATCATTCCTTGTTTCAGGTGAAACGGGCTGAGCTTTCGTTCGTCATTGACTAACACCATCAGAACTGGAACCTGTCAGAATTGACTCAATTTCACGTTTGAGATACATTCATCCTATTTCATTTAAGGTGATAAAGGACTAGTAGTAGAATTTTCCCACAATGATATAGGAATAGCTGAAATTTCCATTGAATTTCTTATAGACTTGTTTCCCCAAAAGTTGTTCCCATCCAGGGTGGACTGCAGTTTCGACCTTTCATAGGTTTTATTAACACCCCCAGCAGGAGTCGAACCGTGACAATGCAGAATGTGAGCTTATTACCTTAACCACTCGGCCACATTGCTACGAGTACCCTTGGGTCACAGGGCAGATGTGAAATTAGAGGAAGGCCAGGTCTTTTCCCATATCACATTATTTGGTGAGATTGTCGGTGAAGCAAACGTATTTTTGTTATAATAATCGTATACGTTACTTATTTATCGTATTTAAGTAGAATTTTGAGACTACCAAGTTCACATGTACTTAGCAATTCGAAGGGCTAAATCCTAAACCATTAGTTGATTTTAATTGTCTTTATATGAAGTTGTTCATGTCTATTATATTCCAGATTCGAAAATAGTAATCTTTGTTCTCTGACTCAGGTGAATTTATGCTGAAAGGACTAAAAGACGTCACCGCAGAAATCTATTCGTCATAAAAATTCCCTCACTTTATATTTATTTTTGTTGTTTGGCTTTGGGTATTAAGGACTTCCTGCTATGGCCGTGTACTTAACATTTCAGACAAATGCAGGCTTATCGAATTCGGAGGACGATTTATCAGTTTCCACCAGATTAAAATTGACAATCTCAGTACGAAGGCAGTCAAGCTATACCAAACCTAAGAGTTTCTTTCATTTACCTTTTCATTGAAAATTAAAAATTAAGAATAACAATCTGAAATATGTTGTTGCGACCATCCTATTAAATCTACAGCTTTCTGAAAGTTTCGTGGGATATATCTTATGTTCACATTTTTACACCTTGATACATCCTAATTTTTATGCATGCAGTCCGAGGAGGAAGGCAGAACGCTAACGGTTATAGCCTGTGGCTGTGAACAAAAGGGACTCGAGACGCATCTTTTCGTTGCCGACTGCCTTGGTGGTGTTTCTGTCTGGCGAATCGACGATTATTGCCTGAATGGTCGAGAGTCTAACTGTCCTACACGTGAGTTCACATTAAAAACACTCAAGCAATTGTGCCACGCTCTTTATTTCCATATTCTTGTATAAATTATTACATTCTTTTTGTATCTATCAAAAGTATTTATCTTAATGACTTAGTCTCGGCGTCATCAATATCGAGCATAAAGAACTAGAAACTTAATTTAAATAAACTCATCATGACAATAAGACAAAAGAAACTCACCTCGATCTATTATTATAATCAAAATAAATAAGTCAAATACACAGAACAAGTCGAATAATAATCGTTCATTAAGATAGATGAGCATATTTGACCCTCAGGAGCTGACAAATTCATATAATTGTATGAAAAAGTACGGCTATTAGCCCTTAAATCACCTTAAGCGACTTAGATTGACTAAGTTCGTATTCGAATGAAAGTGAAGATGTTCGTAGGTCGGTTTCACCATAAGACGACGGCGGATTCCTCTTGACCAGCTGTCGG